AAATATTAACAACTAATTTAAGTGTTAGATGTATATTTGCTAACATATTAGCCTCTGTATTTATGCACTTTGTTGTGTATTTATAACTTATTTTCAAACATTAGAAAGATTTTGCCACAAAAGGGTCAAATTCTTGACCCAAAATATCTTTCTGGAATCAAAGAACTTAAAGAAAATGTATTGTTCTCTTTGATCTATAAAAAGGAGAGATACACGGGCTTAGGAAGAAACTGATAGGTAACGGAAGGGGATTAAAAATGACCTGACATCCTTGCCACTTTGACATACTGGTAACTAATGTGCTGGCGTTCCTTCCAACTTGTTGGGGCTCTGCACAGTTTACTTGCTCCTTTTGGTCAGTATCTTCTCATCCTCGTGTGCTCTTAAGCATTTGGAAGACAACACAAAATCCTTTAAAAAATTTTTAAATTTCAGTATTGTTGACACACAATGTTACATTAGTTTCAGGTGTACAACATAAGTGATAAATTCCGCTATGCTCCCTAAAAGTATGATACAAGAAAAGAAAAACTAAATGAATAAAAACATCATCCCTGTGGGGAAGCTCTGCAAACCTGAAAGCCACAGTGAAGTAAATCTCCACGTGTAGCCTGCAGTAATGACATTTTATCACGGTTTTAGAAAATGTCTGATTTCTAGCAATGTTAGTGCCTTGGACTCCTATAACCGATGGTTGACTTAGGCCACCAATATCCTTGTGATAATATTTGAACATAAAAAGTAAAGAAAAAATTTTAAATGACCAGATAGATGTCAAAAATCAAATGCAAGAAAGGGCACCTGGGTGGTTTAGTCGGTTAAGCATCTCACTCTTGATTTCAGCTCAGGTCATGATCTCATGGTTCATGGGTTCAGTCTCCACATTTGGATCTGCACTGTGTGGAGCCTCCTTGGGATTCTCTCTCTGCCCCTCCCCTGCTCGTGCTCTCTCTCAAAACAAGTAAATAAACTTCAGGGGAAAAAAAGTAGCAGAACATATAAAATAATGTACATTTTTTCAATTGCTGATCATATTTGTTGTTTTCACTTTTCTCTCTTCAAAGAAATTTTAGATAACTTATCTAACAAAAGTAAGTAAAAGTCATTGGTTGGACTTGATCTTGGCTCTGGTGGGAGCCTCCCATGGTTTGAAAGCAACATTTCAAAATATTGTTTTTCAAATTCAAATGGAGATATTTCAATTGCTAATTTAAAACTTGTAAAAAGAGGGGCGCCTGGGTGGCGCAGTTGGTTAAGCGTCGGACTTCAGCCAGGTCAGGACCTCGCGGTCCGTGAGTTCGAGCCCCGCGTCAGGCTCTGGGCTGATGGCTCGGAGCCTGGAGCCTGTTTCCGATTCTGTGTCTCCCTCTCTCTCTGCCCCTCCCCCGTTCGTGCTCTGTCTCTCTCTGTCCCAAAAATAAATAAACGTTGAAAAAAATAAAAATAAAAATAAAAATAAAACTTGTAAAAAGAAATACCCCAACTTTCATATTCAAACATTCAAATTGGCTGCTGTTAAGAATATTTATGTACAGGAATTAGAAAGGTAAATTGCATTTGCAGGATAATAAATAAAGAATCACCCCTTCAAGTGTTTATTTTCATCATGTAACTGCTCCCATTTTACTATTATTACCCTCTTCCTCTTTGGCTTGTACGTGTGTGTGCTTCCACATGAAAAACTTAAGAACGAATTGGTTATTAGGCAACACACCTGGATGAATGACCATTGGTTTACATTCAGCCGGTTGTCCCCATCATTAAGTGAGGAAAATAACCCTGGCATTGGTGGTGGTGTTGAATCAGCTAGTTAACAGAAAAAGCCAGAAAAAGCTTTGCAAAAGAAACAATTTTTTTCATTTTCAAAAAGAAAGCTACATCTTTTTAAGTAATAGAAGAAATGCCTTTAAATCTACAGGTGGGATGAGTCATTCAGGCTTTCTTTTTACAAACATTTAAGAATAAGTAAAATCAATCACCAAAGTTAGAGACACTTTGGTCTTTTTTCTGGGCGTGAGCCACCCATCTCCAAATCTTTTCAAGGACTCAATTTTTGGAGTGAGTTTTAGAGAGAGCTGATTAGAGGGTATAGAAAAAGGAGAAATATGACAATTGTTTTGAGCTAAAATGTGTTTATTCTGGAAGGGGAATTGTTATTTCAGTAAAAATCTGAAATAATATTACTAATAAGACTTTAAATGAAGTACAGAAAAAGGTAGAGGGGGTAAATTAGCATTCTTATCCTTACGTATCTTTTTGTGTGTGTTCATATTTCTTACCGGAAAACATTTCTGCTAAATGTTATCTCATATCTGTAAAATTTTTAAATTTTAATTATTAGGTTGTAATTACCAATGGAAAAAAAATAATTTGTTAACTCCATGAAAGACTAAATATCTCTTATTTCGAAATTTATCTTCAACAAAGCAAAAACTGTCTGAAATTTCACTGTCAGTAATTCACTCTGCCATCTTATTTATTTTATAAACGTAATTCTTAATGTTGTTCCTCAAAGTTCCTCCATCAGAATCACCTATTTCAGTTCACTGAAATCATCTAGTCATCCAAGTTACAGACCTTTGAGCTTTTCTTTTTAATCACTTCATCTTTGTGATATACTATACTTCCAAACTCCAAGAATTATTCTCTCTTCTCCATCCCGATTTTCATGACCCAATTCAGGCTTCTTAAAAATGCTCAGATGGGGAAGCCTTGGTGGCTCAGTTGGTTAAGTGTCCAACTCTTGATTTTGGCTCAGGTCATGGTCTCATGGTTCGTGAGTTCAAGCCCCACATGGGGCCCTGCGCTAACAGAGCAGAGGGTACTTGGGGATTTTCTGTTTCCCTCTCTCTCTGCCTCTCCCCTGTTTGCACTGCCTCTCTCTCTGAAAATAAATAAACAAACTTAAAAAAATTTCTTTAATGCTCAGATGGATCACAATATAATTATCTCACAACGATTCTTTTGCTTGCCAGACTATCCTCTTTTTTTAATTCAATAATACATTGTATATATATATAATATATATATAATATACATATATTATATATATATATATATAATATACTTTATGGTCAAATTGGTTGGGACTATCCTTATCCAATACCTCATGCTGCTTCCAAACTGTCCATCTACCATGGACTTAATCAGGACATCTTGGAGTTAAGGAAAAAAGAAAATAACAACAACAACAACAGTTAAAAAGACAGATGGTTCCTGATGTTACCCACAGAATAAAAATTTCAAAATCCTCACTGAGTGATTGAAGATGGTATGGAAAGAACATTGGTTTTGCATTGTTGTTCTAGTATTTATTAGCTTTTTAATCTTATAGAAATTATTCAAATTCTCAGTGTTAATTTCTTTATAAAGGCTAGTAATACCTACCCAAGAAAGTTGCTGTCTTAGTAAAATAATACCATGTACATGAAACTGTTAGTAGAGCAGAAAATCTAGAATATATTTTTCCCAATATATTCCCAAACTGCTTTTTAGATCCTCCTGCCAGGCCCAACCCCTTGCAATCTGAGCTCTAACATTCCAATTTCCCACGAATATGTGCACACCTGTATCTCATTTCTTTTGCCTGGAATTTGTCCCTCTCTTAGGTTTCTTCACTCAGCTAGCTTCTGCTCATCTTTCAAGACTTACATCAGGTATTACCTCTCCTGGGACAATCTCCCTCAGCCATCTGCACTTCCCAATCAGAAGAGATTTCTGAGTCCTCTGGGCTGACAACACCACATTTCTGTGTTTTCACATGGTTTTTTGTCAAGAACTATAAAGGATGTGAATTTGTATCTACTCTCAAGCTGACAAGTTAGTCTGTCACACTTTCATGCTGGCAGAAGACAAGAGAATCCTGTACCAGAGACAACAGACTGTGTTAAGCAACAGCAAGCAGCAAGAGTTGGTTTTCCTTGCTCTCCAAGTCCCACGGTATTGAGGCAGAAGAGGCTCAGGTAGGTGCAGAGCACGCAGTGGAATCCTGAGCTTAGAGAATCTGCATCTGTTAATGAGCTGGGAACAAATCTGCCAGTGTTTGCCTCACCTTTCTTATACTGGACAATACTTGGCTCTGCAAGGAGAGGCTAATTTTAAGCCTTTCACTCTACAAAAATATGTGAAAAGGTAAACTAGAATGAAAGAGCAAGTAGTTCTGCTTACAAATTTTGCAGAAACATGAAAGACTCACGGGATTCACTCCCAACACTTGCATGGGAACTTCCCCTTTGTTTCCAAGTTGGTGGTAGAGAAGGAGGATATACACACATTGGACATTGTCCTATTCCCAGTAGGACCCAGTGTCCACAAAACGGACATCTGCTGTATGTTTCAGAATAGAAAATCTCCAAAGAGGAGCAAATCAAGTTGATAATCCAAAGTAAGTAAGGTAAGCCCAAGTTCTAGAATAGTTTCAAATACACATTTTTTCTCTTTAACACAAGTGATTATAAATTATGTAACTATAGATTTTTGACTTTTGTAGGGTTTCTGATGTAAATAAAATCACAAAGCCCCACAAATTTTCTTTGTTTTTGGTTGGAAAAGTACAAGTCTTAGAGTTACCAAAAATTCATCTAAAAGCTATAAAGAGTAGCTATATCTTAATGGGTATATTCTGTGAGCCTCACCTTTTATCTACCTCATTAATCTTCATACCAACCGTGTGAGGAAATTTCTATGTCCCAAAGTTTTGGACTGAGTGGTTAAGTGGCTTACACAAAGTGACAGAACTAATAAGTAGAGGACATATGTTCTCTTGAACCCAGTCTTTTTGGTTCCAAATTCTATAAACTAAACTTTCTCATGCAAATTCTCCTCTAAGCTTTACTCCTCATAACTCCACTGGTAGCTGAGACTGCAGGACTCTGTGACTTGGAGTTAATTCTGGAGGTTGGCCCAGACTCAGGTCTGTGAGTGACTACATGGATAGTGCTAAGCAATAAGCAGTAGCCACCAAGTGCAGATGGAAGAGCAGTAAGTCTCACTTCACCTACCTTCCAATTTGGGGTGACGTCTGTCCTAATTGTAGGTATACTGGAACACAGTGGTTCTCTTTTCACTCTTGGGAAGGGCGGAAGAGCCTCTCTTTGGTAGAAGAGATGGGACCACTTAGAAATGCAGAACAATTTTATAAAGACTCCTATTAGCATTTCTATTTCTCAGATTAGCATTGTCCACAAAGCCTCAGATGGTTTCTTTCAATCATCCATTCATTCGTCTCCTCATCTAGTCAACAAATATTAGTGGAAGCCAATGAAGTGCCAGATAACTCTACACAAAAAACAGAGGACTCAGTGTAATGAAAGGAATGTGAACTTTGAAATCAGACAGAGCTTAGTTGGATCCCTGCCTCTACCACTTGTAAGATAAATTTTCTAACCTATCTGAGCTTCTGTTTCATTGCATGTAAAGTGAAAATAATAATCCCCCTTTCTACAAATGTATAAAGATAAAACCAAAGAACTGTATCAGTTGCCTGGCAGAATGCCCAAACAAGAACGTTATCTCCTTCCTTCCTCATTCAGACACTATAAGACTATGATGTATTATGTGCTACTCCTGGGAGACTAATGGATAACATAGATAAAGAAAAAATTTATCTCAGATAACTCAAATATTTAATTTTAGATAAAGCTGTCTTGCAAACTGGATTTGGATTTTGGACCATAAAAGGAAGAAGCTAATATGCCTAGGAATGCCATTAAAGGAACAGCAAACCCTTATGCTCAGTGCATTTTTTTACAGAGGAAATTCAAAGTTTGGCTTCAAAGTTTTAAAAGTTGGATTATCTGTGGCTGTTGGACAAATTGGGTGGAGCACCCAGAGGTGATCAGCAGACTATTCTCTAAGTTGACTAATACTCCAAAGGAGACAAACCTGTAGAAATTCTGTAAAACATAGGTGATGAAAAAACTATGGTTTTTGTTGAAGCTAAGAAAAAAAAAAGCAGATTTTATTGCAACTTTTCTTGTTTAAGAGAAGAGTAGCAACTAAAAGTACTGATAGTGATCTGGAACTGAGAGAGAGAGAGAGAGAGCTCTTAGGGATTTTCACTGGGAAAGTGCCAGTCCCAGCTACTTTGGTAGCTGGCAGAGAGCTGGATATTGAAAATGTTCAATATGTTATCAATTTTTATATTCCTTCCACTAGTGAAGAAAGTGTTCTTTGAATTTGGTGTATGGATCATTGAGGGAACACTGGCAGAGCAGTTTCCTTTTTTTGCTCAGATAACCATCAGCTTGGCATCTAGTGAGAGTACTGTTGAATCTCAGCAGAAGGCTCCTGCCTTGAGTGCATATGTCCTGGCTTCCGTGACAGTATAAGAGGAAATGTGTTTGCATCAGTTAATACTCAAAAGAATTATCGGGGTGCCTGGGTGGCTCAGTCGGTTAAGCGTCTGACTTTGGCTCAAGCCATGATCTCACCGTCCATGAGTTCGAGCCCCGTGTCAGGCTCTGTGCTGACAGCTCAGAGCCTGGAGCCTGCTTCGGATTCTGTGTTTCCCTTTCTCTCTGACCCTCCCCCGTTCATGCTTTGTCTCTCTCTGTCTCAAAAATAAATAAACATTAAAAAACAATTTTTTTAAAAGAATTATCAAGGCAAGAGCGCTTTTAACATACAGAATCTTTTCCACAAGCTCCCAATCCAGTATGATGATGACGAGACAGGATTAAAGTTAGAACATTGAAGTTTGTGCTATAATTTTATTGCGGAAAAACAGTTTTGATTTTTGAACTTTTAACACAAACGTGAAACCTAATATTCTTGTGTCTCCTGTCCTTCTATTCTCATTCCTACTCTTTAAGAAATAAATCCTGGGGTGCCTGGGTGGCTCAGTCGGTTGAGCGTCCAACTTCGGCTCAGGTCATGATCTCACGGTCTGTGAGTTCGAGCCCCGTGTCGGGCTCTGTGCTGACAGCTCAGAGCCTGGAGCCTGCTTCGGATTCTGTGTCTCCCTCTCTCTCTTCCCCTCCCCTGTTCATGTTCTGTCTCTCTCTGTCTCAAAAATAAATAAAAACATTAAAAAATTTAAAAAAAAAGAAATAAATCCTTACTGATTAGTTAATGTGAGATGCCAAAAATAGCAGTGTTGCAGTTACCGATGCAAATGACATGAACTACAAAGATGAAAGCATTCTAAAAGCCTTGCAAAAAAATAAATTCCTTTAAGGAATTTATAGTTTATTTGGACAGAGAATAGAGACTAACCGGAATAGAAGACAAAATATTCTTCAGGCCATAAAACAGAAAGAAAGTTGGTACAATGGGAATATAAAGGAAAAGCTACTTCCAGACTGTGATACTGAGAATTTCATCAATGTGAACTTGCCCTTCCTAAGTCAGTAGTAGTGACCTATGAGATGGTTTTCCTTCTAAGCAGTTTGATTGCCCCCTTTTGTTTTTTTCACTGGCTGCAGCATGATTAGAGAAACAGAGAGGAAAGGGTCAGATGGAATTAAGAAAAGGCGCAACTCGAGAATCAACTTTTTTTGCCCTTTCCAGAGAGGATAGTATTGACATCAGTTCTCCACCCACATCTCTACCCTGTGACTTTGCCCAGCCTATCTGTGGCATTTGTCTAATCTTTTGTAAAGAGTCTGATGGTGTGCCCTCGAAACCCATATATGAGTGAAAGCCACATACGGCTCTGCCAAGCATTGCTCATCTCTTAACATCTTTCCTTGGTGCTGTCAGTTTACCCTGGTGGCAGTGCAAGTCCTTTGAAAATGGAACAGTTTTTGCTTCTACTTTTACATGAGTTATCAATAACTTGTTTCCCAATTCTTATTCTTTCTGCTCCACCCTCTTTCCTTTTTAAGGTAGCAGAATTTTATTTTACTCTTTTATTTTGAAATAATTATAGATCGGGGCGCCTGGGTGGCGCAGTCGGTTGAGCGTCCGACGTCAGCCAGGTCACGATCTCGCGGTCCGTGAGTTCGAGCCCCGCATCACGCTCTGGGCTGATGGCTCAGAGCCTGGAACCTGTTTCTGATTCTGTGTCTCCCTCTCTCTCTGCCCCTCCCCTGCTCATGCTCTGTCTCTCTCTGTCCCAAAAATAAATAAACATTGAAAAAAAAATTTTTAAAAAGAAATAATTATAGATCCACAAGTAGCTGCAGTGTAACCTTTAACTCGTTCTCCCACTGCTTCCATCTTTCATAATTATAGCATCAAAAGGAGGACTTTGGCATTAATACAATGTATGTGTATAGAGGTAGCACATTTTTAGATTTTTACTTTCCTTATTGCTTTTTCTTTTTTTTTTTTTTTTTTATTTATTTTTGAGAGAGAGAGAGAGAGAGAGAGTGTGTGTGAGCAGGGTAGGGGCAGAGGGGGAGGGAGACACAGAATCCGAAGAAGGCTCCAGGCTCTGAGCTGTCAGCACAGAGCCCCACGAGGGGCTCCAACTCACGAACCACGAGATCATGACCTGAGCCAAAGTCAAGTTGCTTAACCGACTAAGCCACTCAGGCGCCCCTTTTTATTGCTTTTTTTTTAAATTCTTCTTGTGAGACTCACAGTTTCTTGCTGTGATTAACCTCCAAGTTGGGCTGACAGTGTGCAGAAGTCAAAATGATGCCAAGTGTGTCCTGTGTCAATTTTTCTTCGGGCACAAGTTTTCCAAGATAAATATGTCTCAAATGTCAGGAATCCTTTCTATATAAACTTTGGCAAGACAGTTAAAACACACACAGTGCATGTAGGAAATGTGGTTTGCTTAGGAAAATCTCAAAATAAGATATTTGGTTACTGTATTGCATTTTAATTGTTGTTAGAGCCAATAACTATAGTTTATACTAACTTTATTTTACTGTACTGTGGTTACTTTAGGCTACTTTATTGTGGAATGCTTTGCAGTTAATAAAGTGTCTGTATATCTACGTTTTCATTTCCCTTTTAAATTACATTATATTGAAAAGTATATTTTTTTCCTATTTGACAAATATAAAACTGTGGTTTACAGACAGTGGGGAAAAAAATGGATGGAAAGGGGGGAAGACATTCAGTGCTATGAGAAAATTGTCCTACTTAAAATAAGAGCATTTACCAATTCTTTTTTCATCTGAATTTCAACAATCTGGTTAAAACTAAGGTGGAGTTTAAGTAAACTACCTTATCCCTGCTACAAGAGCAGGCTATAGTAGCAACTTTTGATCTATAGGTAAAATTTCACAATCTAACTAGAGACCAAGAAGTAATTAAGAAAGACCGCTGCTGTTGTTTAACATAGTGCTGGAAGTTCTAGCATCAGCAATCAGACAACAAAAGGAAATCAAAGGCATCAAAATTGGCAAAGATGAAGTCAAGCTTTCGCTTTTTGCAGATGACATGATATTATACATGGAAAATCCGACAGACTCCACCAAAAGTCTGCTAGAACTGATACATGAATTCAGCAAAGTTGCAGGATACAAAATCAATGTACAGAAATCAGTTGCATTCTTATACACTAACAATGAAGCAACAGAAAGACAAATAAAGAAACTGATCCCATTCACAATTGCACCAAGAAACATAAAATACCTAGGAATAAATCTAACCAAAGATGTAAAGGATCTGTATGCTGAAAACTATAGAAAGCTTATGAAGGTAATTGAAGAAGATTTAAAGAAATGGAAAGACATTCCCTGCTCATGGATTGGAAGAATAAATATTGTCAAAATGTCAATACTACCCAAAGCTATCTACACATTCAATGCAATCCCAATCAAAATTGCACCAGCATTCTTCTCGAAACTAGAACAAGCAATCCTAAAATTCATATGGAACCACAAAAGGCCCCGAATAGCCAAAGTAATTTTGAAGAAGAAGACCAAAGCAGGAGGCATCACAATCCCAGACTTTAGCCTCTACTACAAAGCTGTCATCATCAAGACAGCATGGTATTGGCACAAAAACAGACACATAGACCAATGGAATAGAATAGAAACCCCAGAACTAGACCCACAAACGTATGGCCAACTCATCTTTGACAAAGCAGGAAAGAACATCCAATGGAAAAAAGACAGTCTCTTTAACAAATGGTGCTGGGAGAACTGGACAGCAACATGCAGAAGGTTGAAACTAGACCACTTTCTCACACCATTCACAAAAATAAACTCAAAATGGATAAAGGACCTGAATGTGAGACAGGAAACCATCCAAACCTTAGAGGAGAAAGCA